TCTCATAATTTTGAGGATCTTGGGCAAGGGATTGGGCTGGCCATTCAGCAGGCTGGGAAGTTAGAAATGTGTGTTTATTTTTCCCATCTCTCCCCATGAGCTGTTGGAACCGGTGTCGAGATGAATAGTAAGACACAGCTGGCCCTTTGGGAGGCTGAGAGCCTGGGAGGCGTGAGGTTCAGAGGAAGAAATGTTTGCTTAGGCATTTGATAATCATAATAAGAAGACCATTAGAAGCTCATTGATTAAAATGCCACTGAAGATTCAATTACAACTTAGATACTTAGATATTTCTGAAGGGGGAGCCCAACCGGGCTAATACATTAAGTGCTTGTCACTTATGATTGGCATTGGAACTGAATTACACAGTGTGAAAGGAAATCAAATTAATTTCTTCACTGTAAATGTGTGTTGTAAAGCTACAAAGTGCTATGTAAATAAGTTATTTGCATTGTTTTCAATGCACAAAGATATATCTTAGATTCAATAAATGTTTATTTTTAACTTATGAAGTCTGATGGCAAACCATTTTATAAAAGAGGCTAATACACCCTGGAATACATAAATTCTCATATATCTATGAAACAAGGTATATGCTTTATTTAATGGTCCTATATTGGTGACCTGCTACATACAATATATGACAATTACTTGGGCCAGTAATGATAGTGTAATCGGTAATATACTTTTATGACACCATGGTTCACATGCTGCTCTTACATGGCATTAATTTATTTTACCTTTATAAATAGTACTTGTTACAATCCTCATTTATAGACGAGGAAACTAAGGTACAGCTTAGTGGTATCTGAGACTTGGTTGAGCAATGGAGTTATAGGTTTCAACAAAATTGTGTGAAAGTACAGAAGGAAATCTAGGAGTACTTCACTGAAGAAGCAATATCTGAGTAGGAGTTTTCTAGACAAAGGAGGTAGTAAAGTACATTGAAATGATGTCATTGTCACTAACATTTCTGGACACCTTTCCAAAATATATTTTAAAATTGCCTTCAAAGCATGTGGCACATTTTTCAATATTCTCAAATGTGGCAAGTCTTTGAATTTGATGATATATCTGAGTATTGAAACCATGAAAAATCATTCAGATTTAACTTTGGTAAACGAACCAATCTTTTTTTTTCTTCAATATTGGCAAATGACTTAAAAAATACTAACTTTTTGTGTGTGATTTATATGTAAATAGGCTCTAAGGCAAATACCAAAAAAAGTTTAAAAAACATTTTGAGCCTGTCTTATAATTAGAAGCCTAAATAATAGGAATATGAATCTACACTTGCAAATAGAAAACTAACTTCATTTCTTAAATAGAATGTGTCAGACATGCTTGTGTGTACACAGATTCTGTCTAATATTTTACTCTGAATAATGGACTGTGTATATACACGGATTCTGTCTAATATTTTACTCGGCATTGGAGGTGCTGTGTATTTCCCCTCTAAGCTGTGGGATCCCTGTAGGTCATCATCCTATATCCTCAGACACTGGCTCAGTGCCTATGGAGAAGGAATTTCTCAGTAAATACTTACTGAAATGAATTGAATTAAATAAGTGGATTTTGATCTTGATGCAATGGGATCGATACAATGGTGGCAAAGAGGTGATTCCTCTTTATAAGCACCCTTCACAGGCACAGTGGGAACGTGTTTACCAGGCTAGAGAATTCAGACCCTTGTTCTCACATTGGTTTTGATTAGTGGATAGCTCCACTACACTACTGGATTTCATGGGTTTAACCCGTTCCTGGTAAAGTTCATTTAAGGAGAAGTTGCCTTGAGAAAATTCAGATGGGAAAAATTAATTACAGCATGTAAAGTAAACTGGCTGTACAGAATTGTGAGATGCTAAAGTCAACTTGACTTTAACATGTGGGCAAGAAATAAGTGTTCTCACGTAATCAGTTTTGGTTTACAGATTCAGGTGGACATAAATATGTCCCAGGATGGACATGAACAGATAGAGCAATTTAGACAATAAGGCACTAAATGAAACACTATGATGCTCAACCACCTCTGCCACTTTGTCCAAACCCCACGCACCCTTCCAGGTGAGCTCTCATCCTGCCCACTTCTTGAAGTCTGCCCTCACCTCTTGATTGTGCCCAGAGTGCTTACCTTACCTTTCCTAAGGTGTGTAACATTTGCCATCTCGACATTTACTTGCGTGTGTCTCTTTTCCCTGCCTACCACCATATGTCATGCCCCATGAGAGCAGAGTCTATGTATTTCCACCTTCGCCTCCTCGCATGGTGTCTGGCAAAGCACTTTCTTCATAGTGGGCTTTCCACGCATGACTGGCGAAAAGCAGATGACTGACAGAACCGGGACAAAGCAAAGGGTAATAGCTCCTTTCTACGATATAAGAGACAAACAGATTTCTGCTTCATGGACACACAGCCATGCACATCTAGAAGTAGAAAGGAATATAGGTTTATTTTGGTTGTGTTTGTTTTTATTAGTGAAGGAGTCTAATCCACCGTGCTGATTCCTCATGCACAGATGGGGCCTTATCATGCAGACGAGTCTGTGGAGGAAAAGATTTCTGTTTCAGCTTTGCCTTAGGAATTTCAAGGGAATTCAGAACAGTATTTCTTTAATGATCTGGCCATATTATATTACCGATTGCCAAGCCGAAAAAACATTTGCCAGAACTTTTGGCTTCGGAGGTTTTGGAAGCCTTCCAGGTAATCTGCCTCAGAATTTTGAAATACAAATAAATGAGTTCCAGTTCAAACTCTTCTTTTTGAATCCGAGCTGCCAGACCTTTATTTCCCTCCCATCTGAACATTTTGGTACCGAAATACCAACCAAGCAGAAAGAAGATAGTCAGCCTCTTCAGAGGTTATTAATGGCCTTGGTTTAGAAGAACAATATGAAAGCGAATAGTTTAAAGTTCTGTGTTTCTTAATAGTAACTGACTTTTGGCTCTTGGCATTCATTTCCCAGGATGTTTTCCCCGATTTTATTTGGGAGGGCAGGACTAGGGTGTTCTTTGCCGCTTTGACTCTGCCAGGAGGAAGATTCTCAATGCTCCTTTGTTGAATGTTACACACTTAGCTTTGTTTTCGTTTTCTTGTCTAGGAGCCAAGTGTTTTCCAAGTCACTCAGCATTCTACTGAGGCCTGCTAGTCACCGAATGTGATCGTAAAGCAAAGTTTAACATGCGTTAGAAAGAGACAGGACTGGGAGTTTCGGTGCTGTGGGCACCACACCTAATGAGAGGAGGGCAACTCGGATGGGCGTACAGCTTGGGTCACCTCTATAAACCTCAGTGCCAGTTCCTGGTGAGTTCTGAGGGAAACATACAATTTTATTAAAACATTTTATTGAAGGAAACATGAAGCAGGCACTCCCACCCACTACCCTCTGTCTCTCTGTCTGTCTCTCATCTCTCCACATGTGTGCACACGCTCAGTAGTGGACGTGGTGTCTGCGTGATTCCTCGGTTACAACCCATTGTTCGTGCCTGGGGAGGGCTCACCCAGCAGGAGTTCTGAAGGGTAGAGGCCAGGTGTGAGGCACAACAGATCTTAATTTCAGGAAATTCTCTTTTCAAATCCTATTAAGTTCTTTTAAATGATTGCTATACATTTACAATAGAAATACAGCCTCAGAATTAAATGTACAGTGTGGCACTGAAGGCAAATAATATAAACTTTAAAATGTTCCTTCAAAGTTTCAGATTCAGTGAAGTTTCCCCCCCCCCCC